TCGGGGCCCAAAGGAAGTAATTCATTAACATTATAGGTAACTCTAATAATGCCCGATTTACATCCAATTCTGTACATATCATCTTCCAAGACCTCGAGGATTTTGCAGGGGAGTGTTTTTCGATCACTATGTGTTCTGTCAATCTCAGGAATCTTGATTTGGACGAAATCTCCAATGTTATATTTATTCGCGAATTTTTTATTACGTTTGTCAAGTTGCGATTTCATTTTACTTTGATATCGTTTGAGAGACTTCATTGCTACATCTCGATAGATTTTGTGCGCTGACTTCTGATTCAGATTGTAAAAAATAAAATGTGTTGTAAAAATTAAATAAAGTAATTTTTATTAAAACATTAACCATTTTAAATACCTGAATATTAGTATCAGCATTAGTAATAATATTAGTATCAGCATTAGTAACAATATTAGCATCTGTATTAGTAACCAAAGTTGAAGATTTATGTTTTTTATTTGGACAAATTTTATCTTCGGACAAACTTCTATCAAACGCTTTATTTTTAGATAGCTCAGGCATCTATTTTATAAAAATTTTATTAAAAGTTATTAGTTCGAATAAAGTGACAAACTAAATATTTACATTTGTTGTCATATTTTCTTTTCATTCACTCTCACATCTACTGTATCATCCGTCATTATTTCACTCACCACTTCATCTGTCATTTCATCTATCATTCCATCTATTTCTTCATTTGTTGTCTTATACATATACTCATCCACTACTTCACACTCTATATTATTTACCATTTCATCTATCAATTCGTTCACCTGTTTATTTACCTCTTTATTCGCCCTTTTGTCTACTATGTTGTCCACCTCTTTATTCACGTTTACTATTTCATTCATTTCTCTATCCCTTGTTTCATTCGCTTCTTTAGTAATCTGTTTTAGTAATTGTTGCTCCTAAAACAATTTTATTTTAAATTAAAAAAAAAAAAAATTATTTTATAAAAAAAAAATATCTCTACATTCAAAGCTGCTGCTCCTAAAAGCGATTTCACAATTTCTTGTCGATCGAAATCATCCTGTGGCTCTGAAGGTTCAAACCAATTATCAGATAATTTGTCTTTATTATTAATATGTCATTCTTTAATCTCTTTTAATAATGAAAAGTGGCGTAAAGGGTTTTGACCGAATATTAATGAATATGGGCTATTTTTAATTTGTCGCAATATCTGTATCTAAATTGAAAATTGTATTCATTAAATTATTACAGTTTTGACTATATGTTTTTTGTTGGCTATACTAAGTAAATTGTCATATATATAACAAACTGTTACAAACAGATTTATTCTAATGAAAATAAATTACATACAACAACACAATAGGACAGCACGTGCTTAATCTTTTCTCTGTGTATCTTCTATCTACTTAGACACTTTTTGTTGAAGAATGTCATTTGCACATTCTACAAGCCCTTGGCTCTGTAGATGTCTCGGACGACCATTAATAATATGAACATCAGGTTATATAGTTAATAATTCGTGGATCACCTCCGCAGTAAACTCACAACCATTATTGGTCTGAAGAATAATTGGGACACCAAAGCAAACAAAAACATCAAAAAAAAATATGGCCACTTCAATTGGCCGCTTGCTAGTTAGGGCCCGAGCTCACAAATACTATGTGAAATAATTGCGAATATAGTATATGTAATAATAATCACTATCAGTAATACTGGTTATAGAAATTAAATCTACTAAGAAAGGTATTTGAGATTATCTGCTTTGCAGCTACCAGATTTGAAAATTTTTTCACATTGCACATGTTGTGCAATTCCTTACAAATTCATTTACAAAAGATTGTGGAATATAACAATACTGTTCTGAAACCTATGTACGTATATATATATATATATAATTTAAATGATAAATATATCACAGTAATTACAATATTATAAAGATTATATACTATGTTCTAGAGTTTCGATGAGCCAACATGTTTTAGTGCCCCTTGATGTAAGTTGCACAATACTTTATATATTTTGTCAACAGGACACACAGGTAAGTTTGAATCAGTTTTAATAAGTTAAATTATGGGGTTCATTGGTATTCCAAGATCACATATAGCAAATGTTTTTTTTGCCCAATAATGATCCTTTGTATTTCTGATTGTTGTATTTGCTGGATCTTGTAAAATCTTAATACAGAAATCAAAATCCTCATGTGTAATAAAGGTTTTACATTGCCTATTGACTGACTTGCCATCAAGATATTTGGAAAGCAGGTTTTCAAATACATTGCGAGATAAGAATAGATACTCTTGAGGTTTATTCATTGGATAGAAAGAATCGTAAAGAATGAATAAGCGAATAAAAAAAAAAAAGTATTTAAATATTTAATCATTTAGTACGTAATTTACTTATCCATCATGATATCAATCAATTACACATTTATTAAAGTATTGAATTTAATATTAACTTAGGTTGCTTTTAAATTTATTAATTGTATATTTATTATGAATATCAAATTTAGAATCAACTTAAGTTGTCTTTAAATTTTATATCAACTTGGATCCTATTTAGAATTCTATTTCAATCTAAGTTAATTTTAAACCTATCATAATTCTGTTCCCATATACGATATATATAAATGATAAATTTTTCATCATATATAAAATATAACCACATATGTCTGTAAGTAGGTTGTAATTTGCGTTCAAATATGAATTTTCTCTGTGATTAAAATATGCTGCATAATCATTGCAATTAATTAAAAATTAATTGGATGTGCTGAAAGTTTATTGTGAAAATGCAAATGTTAAATTTTAGCTGATCAAAATAACTACCTGTGTTTCTATATAATAAATTTATTGTTCAAAGTTAAATTATTAACAAATCAACAACTAATAACTAGTTGAATTCTATTATAAACCAAATTTATATATTTGTCTTTGTTATTTCTTTTTTGATTAACCGGCATTATATAAGTTAATATTTACTAATTATAAGCCTTATGTTATTAATAAACTGGTCCAATATTTTTAAAATATTTAGGATTCATAAATGAAATCTATCTATTTTTATCACTTCATTTATAAACAACTTGAAAAACTTTATATTCAATAATAGAAAAATTTTTGCTGAAATAATATCATTGAAACTTGAAGATTAGGAGGTGCCTTTTCATCTTTGTTAAAATATTCAGCCATATGAATATCTTGTTTACCAAAGCAGAGCCTAATTGTGGGTAGGATAGGTATTGGCTATATGATTTAGTCGACTAAATTGACTAAATATAGTAATTTATATATAAATTTTTTAATTGACTAAATCGATTCCTATCCCTAATTGTGGGTCATCTTTGATTATTTTCTTTAACTAACTAAACTTGATATTCTGAGAATTTTATAAGGATCAAAAGAAAATATAAAGCTTTTGTTTGTATAAAGATATTTTTTTACAAGAAGCAACATAATCACTACTTTTTGGATCATTTTGATATTCTAGCATACAGGATTGTACTCACCAATTATTTCACCAGAGGTTTTGACCTTTATAATTACAATTATTGCCCTCTTATTGTCACAAAGTTTATGAATTACTATAGATATAAATCTATCACAAGTGCTTTGCAAAAGTAAATTAAGTTTATGATGAATTTTAGCTGATGCTAATTGTTTAATTTTGGAATTTGTAAATAATTTTAATTGTCTGTAATGGTGTAATAATAATGGATTCAAAGAAGTTTAATTTTGGTTGTTTTAGTTCTAAAATTATATTAAGTTGTAGTTTTAAATTATTTTGGAAATCTGCAATTTCATTTCTTAAATTTATATTAATTATATCTCTAAAAGCCAAACATAAGTATAAAGTTGATTAACAATAAATTCAGTAAATCTAATTAATGGAATGTAACTATATAATATATTTTTTAAATTGATCAATTCTTCTTTAGAAAATTAAAAAAATAATCATTTGTTTCTGAAATTTGACCAATTCCCACAAAATTAAATTATGCTAAATTTCAAATTCTTCTATTTGAATTTTATCATTGTTCAAAGTTTCATCTAAAACTATCATCAAGTTTTTAAAAAGTATTTTGATTTGAAGAGTAATCATGGATTCTCACAAATCTTCTCTAAGCAATAATCTTAAAGTATTTCAAGTAATTTATATCTGGAGCTAGTAAAAGTAACCAAATCCAAATTGCATAATATCTATTCATATCTTTGCTCAATTAGATGACATTAACGTTCATCCAAAACTCCATCAATTAATAGATTGTCAGTAGCCACCAAAAAGCTCAATACATCTTTTCAACATATTATTTCCAAAATACTTTGCTACTATAAATGTAGCTGGAATTAAAAGATAAAAGTTAATAAAATATTCAAATAATATATAGTTATTGGATATGAAGCAGCCAATAACGGGAGTTATTTGAAAAATACTCTATTATCTGGCTGTTAAATTTAATATATCAGCTTCTGGTAGTGTTTTGACCCGGGTGGGTCTTACCTGGGTCACCCGCGGGTGGGTGGGTCACCCGGGTTGAGTTGTAACAACCCGGGTAGCCAACCCACGGGTCAACCTGCGGGTCAACCCGCAGGTTGACCATGGGTTGACCCGTGGGTTCATAGGGAGACATTCGCATGATTGGTTGATGTAAATCAATTGCCTGGATAATTGAGCCAATGATTATATTTCTCCCCTTGGTCATCTAACCGAAGAAGAATATTGAGAATTACATTCTTGATACCAATTTATCAAATACAAAGTGCAAATGTGCGGACATTGAAATAATCCCCAGAACAAACTAGAATTAATGAAGGAACTAGAAGTTATTTCTCGTTCTAACGCCTTTTACAAAATGAATTTGTTTTATTTGATTCTCGTAGTTTCAATTTTATTATTCTACTTTATACGTAGAATCTATAAACCTCCTAAAGAATTAGACTTCATTCCAACTATTTCTATCTTTAAATTCTTGTCATTGTTGATTCGTAATAAAGGACAAGATGAAATTCAAAAACTTATTTTTGAATCGGATCCTGATAAGATTGGTCTAGTTAAAGTAGAGTATTTTATTTGTCATTAAACACTATTAATCATTGCCCGTAAAAAGTTAATCTTTTTTTTCGATATTTTAGATTTTTTTTGCCTTTAAATGGGCGATTATTATAACCGACTTCGAACTTGCTAAAATAGTTTTCCAAGGAAACGGTATATATTATTGCCTTTTTAAGTACTGAGTTGTCTGCTCATTTCTTAAAAAGTTTATTTATTTATTTATTTTATTATTATTTTTGCTAAGCACACACCCTTCCAAAGGTCAATTACATGAAAAACATCCATCGAGGATTTTCTTTGGAAAAGGGGTGTTTTTCACGAATGAAGATGTAGTTATCTTTTTCATTAAACTTTTTGTAATCTTGTTAAAATTTTCGTTTTTTTGATCGCTATCTTCACTTTAAAGCTCTGGGCACGACAACGAAAATTGGCATCGTTAGCATTTCATCGAGTATTGTCTCCTGGAGAATGCACTAATGACCTTATAACTTTGTTAAGCAAACGGACGGATACTCCGATAGATGTGTTTTCATTAATGCAACGTCTTATTATTCAAATATTAGGAAGAGTGGCTTTTGCATATGATATGAGAGTGCGTATATAAATTTTTATGAATAATTCATTTTCATCTGATTTAAAGTCATCCGAGACTTCTCCTGCGGTACCACATAAATGTAATCACTACGTGATTAACAGGGAAAATAAGTGTTCCAATCCGCAAATCCAGATCAGATAAACGGATCAGATATCCGGATAATCCGGCAATCGGATGCTTCGGATAACAGATTACGGATATCTGATAATTATCCGACCAACTCATATGATCATGAATTGCCATCTGTCTTGTTATTTTTTACATGTGTTACGATGTAATCATGT